GTGGAGTGTGGTTTGCAGAATGCAGTCAATCAGAAAAGGCTGCTTGAATATTAATGTGAAGGAACCCACACTTATACTATAAGTTCCTTCTCCGTTATTTATAGCACAGCGAATCCCGTGAACTATAATAAATGCAGCTATATTTTTTGTTTCTATGTAGATATCATATTTGTTTGGGACTTCAGAGATCGGGACATTATTGATATTATCTATGTAATTGATATATTTTCTAATACTTTAACCTATTCAATCGCTTTCTTATTTATAGACATTATCTCGTCAAATTTTATTCTTCAAAACTAAATCTTATTTTAATTGATTTTTTTAAACATTTATCATCTTACAATCTAAAAAACTTGACGAGAAATGTAAATTTCTGTCTACCCAATTTCTTCCACTTCTGTTAATGAGAAGAAAGGCATTGTTTAATAAAAGATGGGTACGTACGTGCAGCTGTCCGTGTGTGAAGAAGGTCGAAGAGTGACTTGTGAATGTGCACTGCTTTTAATCAATGGGCGGGTCGCAGTACACCCACATGTGAGCTCCGTCCTTGGTAAATATTTTTTATCTTGGTATTTTATTATTTATAATTTAATTGAATTTAATTATACGAATTGATAATTGGAATTTAATTATACGAATGTTAACTTTTGAACTGATCCTGACACTTTGTACTTTATATACTAGCTTTTACCCGCGGCTTCGCTCGCGTCACAAAAGGATAAAAGTAGCCTATACCGATACACACAGCGCCATCTATATCAATTCTTTTGTTTTCCCTCGGGAATAACAAAACTGTCCGGGATAAAAAGTGCCCTATTATTTAATCTGGACTTCTAATTTTACGTCTGCAAAAATTCAAAGCAATCGGTTTAGAAGTAACGGCGTGAAAGCGGAACAAACAAACAAACAAACAAACTCACTTTCCCATTTATAATAGTAAGGATAAGGATTGGCGATGAATTCATAGATATATATAAAAAAATGTGATATTATTTTAATATTATTACATTACATATAACAGTTGACATTGAGAATTTAAAAATTTTTGTGCAATAGACAGTGGATTCAAATATTGAAGTTACATTTGTATAATAAATGGAATGTAAGTTTTATTCCAACTACATGTTTTTTATGGGATAAACCGGTAAACGAGCAGACGGATCACCTGATGGTAAGCAATCGTCGTCGCTCATGGACACCCGGAAAACCAGAGTCGTTACAAGTGCGTTACCGGTTTTTTGGGGATTATAAGTATGAGGATTGTTGAGGATTCAGGGATTGGGGAGATGGAGTAGGAGGGTAATTGGGCCTCCGGTAACCTCATTCACACGAAGTAACACAACGCAAGCGCTGTTTCACATCGGTTTTTTGTGAGGCCGTGGTATCACTCCGGTCGAGCCGGTCCATTCGTAGCGAATCATGGCTCTACCACATTTGAAACGATATGAAATATTAACTAACGATATCAAGAATAACAAGCCAAAATACTTCTACCATACTATATATCAAAATTATCATGAATAATAAACAAATTTGTAATTGTTTCTGTTGTTATTAGGCAGTAAGGGACTGCCTACACTTATTGTTATGGTACATCGACACGTGTAACATACAGACGCCATATTTATTCTATCAAAATCGAGGCTCGTACGCGGTAATATTCACAGGCAAATTTTCCTTATGTCGTTTAAATGTTGGAATGTTTTAAGATTAGAGGCGAAAATATTATAAAATTTTGTTGATAATTATGTAGGTAATATATTTGCCTGCCTCGACTTCATCGTTGGCCGAGTGGTCTCAAGTGGGACTGCCGGGCAAGAGGTCTCGGCTTCGATTCCCGGGTCGCGCATAGTATTTGTTGGTTTTTTGAAAAATTCTCAGTAGTATCACGGAGTCTGGACATATGCTCATGGGACTCATTTGACTCATAATATAAATAGTGAAAAGTGGCTGTTACACTGTACAGTGGCATTAAGTGCCGTAATGTGCACCTCTGCCTACCCCTTCGGCGATAAAAGCCGTGATGTAATACTTTTTACTGTAAGAAAAATAAAGGAAAAATATTTCAATACTTTAAAGTCGGGTTTCTCGTTGGCGTGTACTAACAACGGCTTCGGGCTGACTGTGGGATATACGGCACGCGTCACCATTAAGGGGCTGTTCCAAAGAATTCCTACTGTCTTGAAATTCCTTGAAAGCGGTATTATACGTGTGAGGATCAGAACGTGAGTAAAATCCTTTTCATTTGACCACATTACCTTTTGTTTTTAGTATTGGAATTGTAGAACATATATTAAGTAGTTTCATTAGACATATTTGTACATGTTTTAGAAAGTAATTAGTTTTTTCCTAAATTGTATCTTAAATATAAGTACTTAAGACGTTTTTTCGTAAGGCATACAACTCGTATTCTAAGACCTAAATAGGAAAATCTGTGGAAACTGAGTTTCATTTGCACCGTCATCTTCATCATCATCAGTATCCCGATAAACGCTAACAGGTGATGGTAAAAAAACAAATTCATTTGCACAAAAGTAAGGAATTCAATGATTCTTTGATCTAATAATAGCTGTAATCCGTTGATTACAATTATTAATAATAATTACTTGAACAGTTGCTCAAGGCTGATGTTGCATGAATAAAAGTAAAACAAAGACTAATTTTTATTTTAATGTCCGTCTGGTAGATTATTTAAAAACATTAGACACGTATTTTTTCTTTTCTCACAGAAACGAATACTTTCGAAGATATATTGATTTGAAATGTCGCGTGACGTCACTTCTCAGTACATTTTATACTAAGAAATGACGTTTTAGCCCCCACTCCTAAACTTTGATTCGTTTTATCTAAGTATTGTTTTATTATACGACAAAATAAAAAAATACGTGTCTAATATTTTTTCATTACCTAAATGACGGATTAATTACATTTTTAACTTTCCTTATTATAAAAACAATTTATTTTGTCTGCATTTCGGGAGCGTTCTGTTCACACCCTGTATAGTACTGAGACCCTTTTTAAACCCGACGACAGTTAACCAAATCTTCCTAAAATTGATTATTCAAAAACCACCATTCTATCTTTTAAGTCTAATTTAAAACAAAAAAACAAACATCGTAGAACGTCCATCTACTTAACAGAGAAAAAATATTGCATACATGGAACCAACATTTTACCTATTTAAAAAAAATAAAATGTAAAAGAAGTGGCAAGCTATGGAATTATCTTGTCACTGTAAACGATATGGTTGGGCTCTCATTCTAAAATGTATAGACCTGTGATTTTTTCCTTTGAAGTCGCTACTTAATAGAATCGGTTTCTACTTAAAACTGTTCATATTTTATAAGCCCCACGTATGCGTTGTCGATACCTCATATTTTTTATTTAGCTTTTATTTCGAATGCATTATTATCTATGTACTGTGTGGATATTTAAGTGCAAAAAATTTGTTTGATCTTTTGTTAGAATGTCTATTTACTTAGGTAAGGTCTTCATTTCGTAATTTTAGGGTGACTGTATTCCTGCAAATTGCCATAACATGTTGTGATTTTTTTTTAAGGGGGGAAAATCATCGGATGACTGCTCCCGCCCGGGTGAGGCGGGAGTGAGTGTCAGACTCTTACTGACTAAAAACCACCCCGTTCCTTCTCCTGCACGTCCCGGTTACCCGTTAGGTCCTCCGCGACAACATATTGTGATTAGGTGCGATATCATGCAGACAAAATAATGAGATACCTTTACACCAGTTCCTAAATGTAAAAAATGTGGTCATGAAAATATTTCATTGTATTGAAGTATCCGTTTAACTTGCCCAAATAACACCAAAATTACGAAAAAAAAATACGATTAAAATTACTAGGCTAATTCATTAATCTACTCTTTCCTTCAACAATGTCGGTCGAGGGGACATTGATAAAGTACTTACTTACTTACGTACTTAATAGACGTATCATTATTGTCCTTTAAAATAACATACCATGGCTAAGCCCCTCCCCAGTGGGGCAAAATTATACCTTATACCATACAATTTGTATTTATTCTATAGTAAAGGGTGAAATCTTGGTAAATATTTCATTAAGTCAAGTTTTAGTAACACCGTGATTATTTAATGTCTTTATTTGTTTTGATTTATGGATTGGTTGTGGCTCTTGATTCTTTGTGTGCCTGTTTAAGTTGCTGTTTAGTTTAATTAGAATAGTATATTTTAACATGATTAAAACATATTTTGGGAGCACGGTTAGGAAATAAAACATATTTTTGTATAACGTATTTATTATAACAATGTTTTTAATAAATAGCAATGGTTTTAAGTGGAAAAACTATACATTGTAAATCAGAAAAAAAAACAAATGTTTTCTGGTAACGGAAACCAGCTTCATAATGAATAATTGGTGGAATGATGCAAATCTAGTTGCGGCAAAAAACCGCTTCCCGTTTAAGTACCAAAAAAGGATAATTAGTAGTTAGAAACCCTTAAGTATTCATGCAGTTAATATAGACTTAACTAATATTACACCTTTTGAGCAGTCATGGTGGCCCGGAGGTTTACGACGCCCACTTCTCATGTATGAGGGTGCGGGTTCGAAACCTACCAACGGCAAGTACCGATGTGACTTTTTCCGAGTTATATGTACTTTCTAAGATTATTTAGACACCACTGACAAACGGTGAAGGAAAAACATCGTGAGGAAACTTGGACTTATAATTTCTAATTATAAGTTTGAAATCGCCAACCCGCATTGAGCAAGCGTGGTGATTAATGCTCAAACCTTCTCCGTGTGAGAAGAGGCTTTGCTCAGCAGTGGGCATTTATAGGCTGTTGATGATGATGATGACACCTTTTGATGCCCAAAGCAGCAGATGTTGCAGACATGTTTATTCTATTAGTTACTACAACTACAGTCACATATAACAAACAAGAAGAGAGCTCATTAAAACGTTTTAAATATAAGTAATATTACGTTAACAAATAAATAACAATTAGGCACACTTAGAAATTACTTTAGAATAAAGTGATCTATTTTATGTCCAATACTCATGAAGATATTCTCCACTGTGCACGGGTTTGCTGAAAAATTAAAAAATGCCATATATTTTTTTTTAATAAAGCTCTAATAGGTAACTTTATTTGATTTTTAAGATGTCAGAAAATGTATACAAAGTTGATTCCGTCCTTAATATAATCGAACCTCGTTAAAAACTTAGGAAATAAATGACATGAAGATTACTTAAACTGTCAAACACCAAGCGGTCACCGGTGACCGCAACCTATTGTTCTTTAATTGTGTTTATAAATACGGTACTCGACGAGTTAAAGTATACTTACGTATATCAAACCATTCATCATCATGTCCAGCTTCCAAACGAGCTGCTCTTACTGCTTCTCTCAACGCGTGAGTTAACACTGATGCAAGACAAAATGCTGGTTCTCCAGTGGCTAAGAAAAAAAGACGTATACGGATTAGCTATTTAGTTAAATACATAACATTTACTACAATTAGATAATTTACTATCACTTTTGATATTAATTAAAAGTAAAGGATTTTCAAATAATAATAAATCTTTACCTTTGGATTGTAACACACCGTATGGATTTCTAGAATTTCTTCGGAAATATACCCTGAAATCAGCCGGTATATCCTTGATTCCCGGAGGCTTGTACGTCCACGTACGATCTGTGAGCAGTTTTCCATTATCAGGATCATAAACCAGTTTCTCTGAAGTCCAGTAACCAAGACCCATCACGAAAGCACCTTCAATCTAAAAAAAACATAATATTTCACTCAAATTGTTAGCAAAATTAAGACTTATTATAATTCAATCAAAGTCGACAATTACCTGAGCAACGTCAATAGTTGGATTTAAACTCCTTCCAGTATCTTCTAGCAAATCAACTCTTCTAACATCATGATTGCCAGTCAAAATATCTACTTCTACTTCAAGAGCACAAACTCCATAAATATCATAAGGTTTTAAATTATCATTACTTGAATACATATATGAAGCTTGTAAATCAATTCCTTTTGCATAAGCTTCTTGTATAAGTTCCTCCCACGATGGCTTATCCATTTTTTCTTTTATAGGTGCAAGCCTTTCTAATAATGTTTCACACGCTTTCATAGTAGCAAACGAGACGCATTCACTACCAACGCTAGCTCCAGTTGCCATAGCATTAGGTGATGTGAAACTCGAAGTTGGTTTAATGCTGATCTTCTCTATCGGTATACCAAGTGTGTAGGCACAGACTTGAACAACTTTAGTGTTCATACCTTGGCCCATTTCAACACCACCATGAGTTATAACAACTGACCCATCAGCGTGATACACTGATACAAGTGAATTGTAAGGTCCAATATAAAATAAATCATAAGTCATCGGCATTATCTTCAAGGCTCGTTTCCTCCAACGATTGTTCATGTTAAATTGTTTAACTTCTTCCAGCCTTTCGTTGTAATTTGAATCCTTTTTTAAATGGTCTAATAGGTCTGGTATCGGATTATCTTCTTTTACCATGTTGGCTAATTTGACTTCTAATGAGTCCTTGCCTGTCTTGTGAGCAATGTATTCCATTATGTATTCGATCATTGCTAAACCCTCGGTTGAAGCTGAAAAATAATGAGGAATTTCTTGTGTTCATTTGAATACAATATTGAGATCTTTGTTAAAAGATACTTGAGAACATAATACTAAAAATATTGAAGATATTTGTAAAGAGGTTTTTAGTACATTATTACAGACTTAGTTCATGGTTTTTCTCATTACGATCAAACTTTTATCGTTTTCTTTAAACTTCCGTATTTATCATTTGAGTTGAACTATTACAGTATGCAAACGATGTTGTTTTAATATCAACGGTACTTTATAAAAAAGGCGATTCACATAAAGTGACATAAAGTTCCTCATGTGAATCATTTAGGTTTCTATTCAAACTTCCTCGAGCATGAAACACTTAGCAAATCTCATTTTGGTCTAAGCTTCGGAAATTCACATAAATATGACATTACATATGGAATTTACCATTTGTAGGAAGAAATAGCAAATGTTTCCATGAATTAGGGAAATTGTTGTTTTTATTACGTTTTGTAATTGAATATGAGAAAAGCCTTTTGTTTTGGAGTTATTGCTGTTTTATGTGTGGATGGACTTTGTTTATTTGTCTGTACTTATTATCATGAATGGAATTATTCTACTTATTTGCGTATTTATGCATTTGAAAGCTGCTATCTTAACGATCAAAAGATGAAGCTTATAGTTCATAATTATCTAAAGGTCCCATAAAACTCAAATATTTTACGTATATCTGTCAGTTAACTCAATGTGTGTCACTAAGGTAAATCTACTTTAAATCGGGTAACTACTTTCCTAAATAAAAATTAAATTATTTCGACTGTTTAATATAAGAAAATTAAAAAAAATCATCATCATCATCACTTTAATTTCTTGATTTTATGATCAACATAATTTTTATAGTTTTCCAGCAAATAAAAAAAAAATAAGTCTGCTGTTTGACGCTATAAAAAAGTGTCGTCACAATACACAATCTCGTACAAAATTCATACATAGAAAACTGTCGTTTTTGACAGTTCGAAAAAAGTATTGAATTTGATTCCAAATTAGACCTAGAAAGATAAAAATACAATAAATTGGATACTCACATGGAGCTCTGCACCATGTATTCGATGGGGTGTCTGTAGCAACACTGTTACCTTCAACGTACCATCGCTTGCGGTCATAGCAGTTGAAAAAATGATTCACTGTGATCGGACTGATTGTCTCATTTGCAGAGCACCCATTGTCTTGATAGAAAACGTTTTTAAGATACTGAATTACGCCGTTTTGATCCACTCCAACCTGTATAAAGAAAAAGAGTATTTATGTCATAGAGTTTATATTTGATAGGTCGTTTCAAATCATAAAGTCAATGAAGGAAATCTTGTGCATGGCTTCTTTTTACATCACCACATAGTATAAAACAAAGTCGCTATCCGCTGTCTGTCTGTCCCTATGTATGCTTAGATCTTTAAAACTACGCAACGGATTTTGATGTGGTTTTTTAATAGATAGAGTGATTCTAAAGGAAGGTACATGTATAAGATATGCATATTGCACCCGTGCGAATTCGTGGCGGATCGCTAGTAATAGAATAAAGTAAGGTAAAAGAAATCAAGGATCTATTAAAAGAAAAGTTAGCTACTAGCAAGTTGAAAAGGAGTAAACTTTTATCATTAAACTGTTAGCAAGTAAAGACATAAAGTTCTGGGACTAAGTAATCCTGTTAGAGGTATTAAGTATTCACTTACCTCAAAGTTTGAGTTAGTGGGCAGTCGCTTCCCGATAACACTCATTGAAGTTTCCAAAGGTAGGATGAATCTGCAAGTTTTTCCTTGTAAATGAGCAACTAAGGCCGCTGCGCAGGCTATTTGACATGAACGTGTTATTTTGCCACCGTAGCCTCCACCTACTCGTCTTACAACCACTTGTATGCTGAAATTATTTCACATTGATATATAAACGATCATAGAGTAAGTTTATGATTTTATCTTTTTATCGGAATTCCCTAAAGGCATAATGGTCTCGAAGACCAAAATGTCAGTAGGTTGATTCGGTAACCGCAGCTAAATTTTAACAGCAGCGGCGAGAATTAAGATAATGTAACACAAAATGAATTGCCCAAATCTGGCTCATTTTAGAGATAAGCACGTTCCTGCAAAAAGAACAGAACTTCCCACTTTATACATTTTTGATTAAGATTTAGCTAAAGAGGCGTTTCAGAGCGAAGGTGCACGGACTTGTTCGTCCATTTCGCATGAAAATGTAACACATACATTTTTCATGAAGCGGAAACTTCTTGTTCAAGTTAATCTCTGGCGTGTCAAATTATCACACTGAAATATTAATGAGGTGGCGAGTTTTACGATATTAAGGGTGAAATACGGACCTGTTAGCTGGTTTATTTAATAACTGAGAAATTGCGACGTTAGTCAAATCAAGCCATTGAGTTGAAGATGTGACTTCTAGTCCATCTTCTGTGTGGCGAACAACGCATGTTTGTGGTTCCATGTAGTAATGGTATTGAGACTCCACCTTATATTCACCGTTGATCACATATTTCACGTCTTTTCCAACTTCTTCTGGTTCCACGATCTTATTGTTAGTAACTCTTTTATTTTTCTCAGGAGATTTTAATACATCATCGATTTTTATTAAAGGTTTGCTTTTGTTGATAGATTTGTATTTAATTTTAACAAGTTTTGCAGCTTTATTTGCTGTTTTTTCTCTGTCCGCAACAATAATGCCTACTGGGTCTCCATAGAATTTTATTTGACTTGAGCAAAGGACTTCTTCATCTTCAGTTAATATAAGACAGTTTGTTGGTGTGAATGTATTCTTTCCAGGTATATCCTTGGCCGTGTAGAAGGCTAGGACACCTGGAACTTTCTGAGAAAAGCAAAGGTGTAAAAATAAACAAAACAAATTAAAGATCATTATTTGAAGTTTTAAACAGTCATATTCACTTAATTACATGTAAAGTAACAATATTTTGTGATTCAAAATTTAATTTCGTACTTACAAAAGCCTCAGTTGTATCAAAGTCATTAATGACACTTCCTGGTCGGGCATCAGCAGTAACGAATGCTGCAAACACCTCATTAGGTTGTTTCGGCAGATCATTAGCAAATGTGGCCTCGCCACTACATTGTACTAAACCTTCCAGTTTTGATATTGGTTGATTCAGAGGCCAAACACTTTTATCTGTATCGAATACTTGTGTCCCATGAGATATGTGTCTTTTTATAGCTTCACCACCTGATTTTAGTTTAGGATCGATTTTGTCGTCTGGGCATAGATATAAAATAGCCTGAAAATAAAAATGTAGTAAAAGTTATTCAAAATAAACTGTGTTCAAGACTTTTAATTGTCAGTTTTACGGACTTGAGCACGTGCCCTTCTTTGACCAAGTGTTTAATGAAGTAACGTGAGGAAAGTTGATGATAAAAGAAAAATTATCAAAATTGCAAAGCTGAACCTTTGCAATTTTGATATAATCGAATAATTAAATTGCTAGGTAAGTAATTTTTATTATGTCCCATTTTTTGGTTTATTCTTACCTTATAATACAAAGCTATAGCCAACATCTTCCTATAGGCAGCTGAAGGTTCTGGAGGTGCTTCCTCAGGGAATATCTCCATGCTTAAAGTTTTGAGAGCTAATTGCAAAATTTCATTTTTAAAAGGATTTTTCCCGACTAACAAAGATTCAGTTTTTGTAGCGTGAATAAATTTTGGAGATATGCTGCCGTATACTACGGTAGCACTCTCCAATAATTTCGAATTACTTCTGAATTTAAATAAAAATCCAGCATTTACTACAGCATGAGCGTTCTGAGACCGCGGCATTATCTAAAATCAAATAAAAATAAATTGTATAGACATTATTATTAAACTTATTTTGCAACGACGCTCCAAAATATTACCTTATACGTTTTTAACTTAGCATTTGTAGACAGAGGTGGCAACATTACGTTTACAATTAATTTCCGTTTCATATCAGCTTTCAAAAAATTCTTGAAAGTCATCACTTTCGTGGCGCTTACGCTTTCAGCTGAAAGTAAAAGTTTCAGTTTGAACGACAGAAAAATTTAATTAAATAAGTCTAGAGTTAGAGACGGCGGTCTTACCGATAGTGATCATCGCTCCGACAGTTTCGAAAAGTAAAAATAAATCAGATTGAAACTCATTGTTGAGATACTTCAAGTATAAATTACCACCGATTGTGCCAATCTGGAAAACGTTAAAAGTATAAAAAGGTCGATATATAAATAATCGTCTTTTAATATATAGATCTCATTTAATGCGAACTTACATTTCTAACCGGTAAATGAGCAACGAGATCCATATGATCATATAAAACTTTCAAATAACTAAAATCTTCATTAGTTCGCGATATTTGAAGAAAGAGTTCCATCATCTCTGACAATGGCATCCCTGCTCCAATAATCAGGTTTACATCCATTGTATGGCCCTTGAGTTCCACAACGTTAAAAATATCTATCAAAATTGGAGGATAGTCGGTCACGTGGTAGACTCCTACAATAGAAAAAGAAAATGGTTTCTTTTTAATTATTTTTGAACATTATAATAAAAATTGTTCTTGCAAATCATTAAGTCAATTAGAAATAATAAAATTCTATTATGATTTAAACTAGAAACAAAAATGGTAAACCAAGGAACATTTACGAAAGCTTTGAAATACCGTATAATAATTCCTATCTCAAAAAGATTTCAACATACCTTGTCCAGTGTTTCCGGCGATTAGTTTATAATTGTTACTCTTATTAATCACTTTGAAGACGTCATCCAATAAATAAGTTTTGTACCATTTAGTCATACCACAGTCTACAACTATCATTTTGTTGCTGCTTTTCTCGATGACACACCAGTCTTCATCTTTCTTGGCATCATCAGTTTTAGTGTCATTTTTCTTAGGACATCTCTTGTTACATTTCTCTCCTTTACATTCTACAGTAGATAAATCTTCTAAATCAACTAGTTTGTTGATTAGATCTTCGCTAACATTATTGGCGAATGTTTTGAATGCATCTGCAATAGGTCTGTATCCTGTACATCTGCAGATGTTACTTGCAAACGAATTTTCTACTTCTTCCATTGTTAGATTGTTCTTTTTGCTTTCATAAATGCTGTTAGAAAACAAGGTTTTAATACTAACATATAGAAGTAAACAATATCTAGAATTTGACTGTATATTAATTGGCTATCTCGTTGATCGTGTGTTTTAACATAACATAACATCACGTCTTTTATCCACGAAAGGGCAGGCAGAGATGCACATTACATCACTTCATGCAACTGTACAATGTAACACCCACTTTTCACTATTTATGTTATGAGTCCCATGTAATAGGGGGTGAGTCTATTGCCATATACCGGGCACAATTCCAGACTCCGTGCTACCACTGAGAAAAACCCAGTAATACTTTGCCCGACTCAGGAATAGATCGTGTTTTATACCAAAGATTTTCTACTTACAGAAATAGAAGCCCGAAACAGGCGGTTAAAATATTTTATTTGTTAGATTCGCTATTTCAGTTCCTAAAAATACCTGTAATTATATTTGGTCCGATGTTATGTGTATTCAAAATTTGCGTTTGTAGCTGTTTGGAGCGTACGCAGACAGTTCTTGCTAACCGTAAACTTTCCTTAACCCATTTGGGCCCGCCGTCCCCATATGGGGACAGGTTTTCTTTTACCCGCTGGTTATTAATTATTTTAGCTATCTTCACATTTCATGGGTATTTATAATGAGGAGTAGTGTACTTTCCTAAAATTATTAGAACTTTTGACAAATTGCTACAAAAAAGGGGTCATATTGTCAATTTTATCAAGAGGAAGTGAAATGGGAATTATTATTGAAAGCAGAGGCGTTTTGTAGTACGTTATTATGAAGATTTATAAAACTTTTTTGTGATTATTGCTTGCTTATAGTGTCAATTAAAACAATATTGAAGAATATCCTTATACTTTCAATTCCGCTTAGGGGAAAGTTAGAAAAAATGATGGTGTCCCCGTATGGGGACAATGGGCACATCTGTAGTATATTTTTAAAACATTTATACCTGATTTGTATTTCGTTTTCCAATTTATAAAGGTCACCTATAGGCTAAACTTAGTTATAGCTAATACTTGGTGACAGCAGACGCTAATTCACGAAGAGCATCACCAATTCCGCCATATCTTTACGCGTTCATATTCTAAAATCTGATGGGCATCAAGACCGAAGATGCAAAAGTACCAGGCGTCGCATCCGATATCAGAATTCAGCAGTAGGGGGCATTTCCTCCAGCTGTATTCTGGTGTCGTCACAGCGAAGTCCACCCAGAGGATAGAGTAGCATTATGCCCTGTATACGTTGACCACCGCCGTGTCTTCAGGGAAGTGATCGACGACGATAATCTTCCACATCCAGCTTAGGTTCTGGCTGTGGTGCGGATCGAGGGGAACTGGAAAACATCTCTTTCTGCGAAGCAGTCATAGTAGCAAGAACAGATCGCCGCCCAGAACCAGACCTGTACCTGTCAAATTGATTTAGACATTTTCCGCAGAGATTTAGTTAATATCTGTTACGATACGCAGTTCATCATAAAAAAACTGTGATATCAATGCAAATAATGCGTTAGAACCTTATGTGTCGAAAACAGTTACTACTTCGAAAAGTACTACACATGAGACCGTTGTCCCCAATCAAGGACGGCATTTTTTTTAATACTTCTAAAAATATTTTTTGAATTTTTTTTGCTGATATTAGTTTGTGGGCGTCATATCATTGAGTTAATAAAGTTTTTTTTATTAAATTATGTGTAGTTTGCATTTGGTCCCAAATGGGTTAATGAAATAATATAACCTTCAGCCACGATTTCGGGCTTGATATTCTTTGAATAATATATATAATTTTCATTCATAAAATAAGTTTGCCACGTTCATTGAAATATTTCTAGGATTTGTGTGGGTGGCGCATATTGCGTACAAGAATTTTGCTTTATATTGACATTAAAAGGTCAAAATATAAGACAAGTTGATACGTTAAATCTACATTGTTATATGATTTTCGTGACTAGACCTGATTCAAGAATAACAGAACGAAGGCTATTTCAAAGTTCATTCATGTAGTTAGAAGATAATTGCCAAAGTTTTTTCGCAGTATTTTGGGCTATCATTCCAGTAAATATACAGGCCCGATAGCGCCCTTTACAACGAGCGCAAAAATCAATAGTCTATATTTTCTAGATAACAGAGTCCTTATTGCCATTACACACTAACTAACTTTAATATTGTTACTTCTAATTACTGTCATAAACCTATAGATACTTTTTTTATTCAATTTACTTGACCATATTATAACTATTTTTTTTTTTATAAAGCATGGTTAACTTAATATGTACACCAGCAATGGTAGGGTATGTGAAACAATATTTAATGTCAAACCTTAATGTACCATATACTTGGAAATAAATGGTATTCTACTCTATTCTATTCTAGCTCACCTGAACATGTTCATGACCCATCCAGGGGTACAGTATCCACACTGTGTACCATTAAACTTTGCTAATCTGCTTTGAATGTCGTGGTAGCTGGTCATCTTGCTTCCAATCCCTTCAACTGTGATTATCTCCCAGCCGTGGCAGGATAATATGGATACCAAGCACTTCAAAATGATAAAAGAGGGTATTAAATATCTTTGTTTGTTTTATTTTGAATCCATGGTAATCAGATTAAAAATAACGAAGAAAAAACATAAGTAATCAATAACATAAGTAAGCATAAGTAGTATATTTTACGATCAATTTTTTAAGTTCGGTTTGGTCTTTTTATTATCTCCAATGGATTAATCTTTTTATAGCCTGCAAGTTTTGATAGCTGGTTTGGATACACAACCTATAAAGAACTTAAATGGTGAATGTAAATCGATTACATAAAAGTATTTTTTTAATATCTTACAGAATTAACAGAAAACGTCTTGATTTCATTTGTGGGAGGTAGTGCTGCGCGTACAGTGACAATGCAGGCGCCGCAGCCGCCCTCGTGACACATCGCCTTTGTGCCACGCAGCTCTGCCACAGTCCGAATGTACTCGTTCAAGGATACATCAGGACTGAATCTTCCATCCGCTAGAAAGATGATTATCATTATAAAAGTCATCATCAACCATCTTCATCGCTGAATAGAGCTAAATAAAGAGCTTCTCCTAATAGTATAGTCTTCATAACAGCATATCTGATTGATGTGATTATTTCAGAAAATCCTATTTTTGGTTAACAGCAGATCAAGTCAGAATTAAGAACGAGGTGGTTTTTAGTTCGTAAATCTGACACTCTTTCTTGCCTCATCCAAGGTGGAAAAGTCATTAGATGGTTTTTCCTCCCCTCAAAATAAGGTCTTTTTTTTTAAGGGGGGAAAATCATCGAATGACTGCTCCCGCCTGGGTGAGGCGGAAGGGAGTGTCAGACTCTTACTGACTAAAAACCACCCCGTTCCTTCTCCTGCACGTCGAGCCGGAGCCCCGGTTACCCGTTAGGTTCTCCGCGAAGGAATTAATATGGTAGATCAATCCTTTCCAATACCAGTGCTATTTAATAAATACAATTTTACAGCCCAAGAGATCTCTCTAGAAAAAATAGAAATTTAGCTCCTCAATAATAAGAAAACCTCTCAATTTACCTTCATACGATTCCCCGTTGATTTTGAACACAATTTTAGCCATGTTGGTTAGCGGCTACCGTCGAACTGATTCCTATGAGGCTTCTATGGTGTACCAACCTCTTTATCATGTGCAATGAAACTGGCCTATCCAACATTACTTATTGTTAAATTTAATTTTCCTAGCGGAAATAATAATACAATTGGTAGCCAGTGGTCTAATGAACAGTTGCTTTTAGTAATATTCTGAGTTGACTTAACCTAAGTGTATAATAAAAAGTATTGTTTAGAGTTCTGCTATGTAATTTTTATAATGGTTTACGTGCGTTTTGTAACATTGTTAGTTGCCATTATTATGTTGTTGGCGATACTAGAGGTTGTCGCGGTTTCGGCTTGATTTTTTTTTTTTTTTGTTGTGCTTAACGTTGGTTTTTCTCTGTTTATGTGTCTTTTCGTTGTGTGCTTAATTTTATGTGTCGTTTTTTTGAACACATCATTATTTTTTCATCAATACATGGAGGTACTATACTGAAATTGAAAAAAAATTAAGCTAGATAGATATCTAGCTATATTTTTTACATAAAAATGCTATGACAAATAAATCATCTAATTTAACACAGCTTTGTCAGTTATGTTACAATTTTCGAATTTGAATCTCATTTATTAATCGATTAACATTTAGCAGTAGAATAAGTAATTATATCATTAATAGTAATTGGTACAAATTAAAAAGAAAAGTAGGTTATATAAAAGAAAAATAAAAAACTACCGTTAATTACTTAGAAAGAAAAGTTCTTTATAGAGGCCACTAATTAGGAATGTCATAATTATAGGACAGTCTGTAATTATATTGAATACTAAGTAATTAAGTTATTACATTACGGTAGCGACTGGTTCTTATGCTTTATTCTATTAATTGATTAGATAATTGTTAAGGAAATGTCAGTTTTATTATACAGGGTGGTTTGGTGCTTTGAATTAGGGAAATCGTAAGCATCACTTGTAATTATAAACTTAAAGAATAGTAATTAGGACTTCTTACTCGGAAGTCCTCGTATTTTTTTAATTCATGTTCTAATAAGGTAGTTGTCAATGTAAGAAAATTAAAAATCTAATTAGTCCGTCAGTTAGATATTGAAAATATATTAGACACTAGCTGTGCCCGCGACTTCGTTCGCGTGGAATAGTAACTATGAGCAGCGTTTTTCAGCCTATGTATGTATATAAGCATAGAATACTGTTCGACGTGATTCTTTAATTTGACATAACTTTTTTATTTATGAACTGATTGACATGAAACAAACACTAAAGCATAACTGAAGCATACCACAATATATTTGTGAAAACCGCATCCAACTCGGATCAGCCGTTTCTGAGATTAGCGTGAACAGACAAAGAGACAAAAAAAAAGTTAATTACATTTTTGGGTTCGACATCGACATAACAATAACCCCTGCTATTTATTTTATTTTTATTTTCAATGTACAGACAGCACTTTTCTACAATTTTATTATATGTATAGATATAGAAGATAGATAGATATAGATGTATTTTTTATTTTTTTCGTTTTGAGACACGTATTTTTTTTCTCGTATTATGTTGCAATACTTAGATAAAATGGCATTAAGTTTAGGAGTGGGAGGTCGTTACGTCACATCGTGCTACTAATATATTTAATTAATAAACACGTTATTTTAAATTAATATATCGTAGAAAGTATTCAATTTTGTGCGAAAAGAAAAAATATGTATCTACCTATTGTATTAAAATAATCTACCAGACGGACATTTAAATAAGATTTAGGAAACTAGTCTAACTATTGGCTTGTTTATTAAATTGTCATTGATACTTAGTCTGACCCAGATTGAAATGAAAGTAAAGTATTTAACATGGAATGAATTTTCAAAATCATACAAACATTTTACACTACGAAAGGCATTCTCCTAATACGTAGATTATACGTACACACGGCTACACATCGAGCTTTACATAACCAGTATAAACTGAACGTTTAATGTGCGGAATGATGATGCGACGCGACACCAGGATAAACTGGTTTTGTATAGATTGATGTGTAGCCCTGTGTACGTATAATCGTAATATATACGTATTTAATGCCCAGTACCCAATAGTCTGTTTAGGATAATTTTATGATAAATTCAATGTAGGTACATTTGAATAATTTGTTTTGACTGATGCAGTTTCAAAATTTATCTCCAAACATTATATTCGTCGTTTAGCCTTTTCAGCTAGAAATAGTTAAAACATATTCAAACTTGTACCCCAATACTAACGTCATGTGCAAGTATCATGCTAAACGACTTGAGCATACCTCAACCTTAAAGGTATTGTTACACATATTCTAAAACATAACATAATATCACGCCTTTCATCCCCGAAGGCAGAGGTGCACATTATGCCACTGTACAATGTAACACCCACTTTTCACTATTTATGTAATGAGTCCCATGTAACAGGGGGTGAGCCTATTGCCATATACCGGGCACAATTCAAGGCTCCGTGCTACTACCGAGATTTTTTTTTAAAACCTATTAATAATTTTCTCGGTCCGTGAATCGAACCCGAGACCCCTTGCCCGGTACTCGCACTTGCGACCATTCGGCCAACGAGACAGTCTATTACATATTCCAAAATAGCGTGCTAAAAGACGTTCTATAGAGCATGCTCAAAAATGTTCAAAAATCGAACGTCTGTAGATTCGCAAGCGAGCCCGAAATGAGCATGCTATTTTTAGCAACATTCCATAACAAATGCTATTAAGTGTTATGCGCTCAAATGAAGCATGCTTTATGCTTTTCATTACCATGTATAACCAGAAGGTTTTTAAAGGGGGGAAAATCATCGAATGACTGCTCCCGCCTGGGTGAGGCAGGAGGGAGTGTCAGACTCTTACTGACTAAAAACCACCCCGTTCCTTCTCCTGCACGTCGAGCCGGAGCCCCGGTTACCAGTTAGGTTCACCAGAAGGTACCTCAACTCTAGATCACCCCAAAAAACGTGATATTTTGCTACGTATTCGAGAAGACCTAGTTAATAAATACAAGTCACATAAGAAAATATTTATAAGAGTGATTTCGACCACAGCATTTTTATTTTAATTCTAAAAAAAGAGTATAGGTAGTAAATGATTTTTCATGGAACTTGGCGTCCGTATGTATGTGCGTCAGTCTATATTTTTAGACGTGGGAGCATACAGGTGTACCGAGGGCCGGTAACATCCATATATATATTTTTCATTGCAAATTCTGTCATTGGAACGTCCCCTTGTTCTATGGATATGTCAAGGTGTATGTTATAGAGGGTGAAGTTAAAACCATAATATATTTTTAAATCAAATATGATAGTAGACTAGCTACTTCCGCGCGGTTTCACACGCTCTGCTCAGCTCGTATTGGTCGTAGCGTGATGTTTTGTAGCCTATAGCCATCCTCGATAAATGCGCTATCCAACACAAAAAGAATTATTCAAATCAGACTTGTAGTTACGGAGATTAACGCGTTTAAACAAACAAACAAAAAATCAAACTCGTCCGCTTTATATAATAGTATAAGATATTCTGTTTTTTTTCACATTAAGTTACTATGGTCATGAATAAACTCAATGTAATCGAAACTTTTAACCTCAATAATTCCTAAATTCACCGCTTTAAACATCTACAACCAGATAGTTAGTATTTAGATAGTAACCTTAGATTTGTCTGCATTGCGATCTAGGTACAATTTGGGATTTTGTGTCCATTTAGAAAATGATGAGGTCTTACGGTGATGTCTTTTTAACCATTTAGTAGCTATGATATTCTGAGTATGGACTCAATTTCAAATTGTTTCAAATTAAGTTAAATATACCAATTCGAATAGTGCCCAATGTTTTAAAAAATCAATCAATTCAAATTTCAAATTTAAATTGTTATTGCATTACTAGATTCTGCCCGAGACTTCGTACGCGCAATCCCGTTTTCTCCCGTTCCCATAAGATTTTCAAGATTATCATAAGAACCTTATCCTGACAATACTTAACAAACATAACAAAAAAAAAAATCAGCCAAATCGGTCTAGCCATTCTCAAGTTTGGCGTGACAACGGGAAATGGGTTTCATTTTTATAAATGTAGATATCATGTGTTCAATAGGTGTTACATAATGGGGTACAGTTTCAACATAAAACCCGGTTAGGGCACGGCACCATATAAAGCAAAATATTTTTATTTATTTATTTATTACAGTCACAGCGGTTGAAAACAAAAACCAATTAAAGTAACTGGACACAATAATGAAATAAACGATGAAATAATAAAACTAAAACAAAACATACACAACGAACCAGAAGAGTAAAACTTATTTAAAAAATGGTAGCATTCATAAGTTCCTCTCGCAGTACTTCAGGCATTTTAATAAAATCTCCTTCCATCCGTCCGCAAACAGATCACTAGTTGGATTGGAATCCAAGAGACCATTGAGCGCGGCCAGAGTGATAGGAATCGGTGCTTTAGCACGTGCTACGGTACGACATGAGGGTACGGCAAACAATACAATCCAATTAAATTACTTATAATTTATTATCACATAAAAATATTATTCTCATTCTAAACAATTAAAACGTTTCCTTAAATTTATTATAACAATCTATATGTGCGGTAAACTCGATCAATACATTACCAGAATAACAAAACATAAAAAATATCGATTTCGAGTCGACAACATATATCTGCAAAATTCGGATTACGAAGATTATTTCGTTTTATTAATTCATTATAATGACAATGAAAAACCGCAGTCGCCATCTTGAGTAGGCAATAACCGTTCCGTTTCATACTAGCTCTCAAATACGCCTCGGCAATCAACACGTCGCGTCAAAAAAGTATAAATGAACAATAAATATATATATCAATAATTTCACGCGAACGAAGTGTATTTATATTTATGTTAATTGTATGTAGTCTATGTATGTAGGTACTAATAAGAATTTTAGTTAGGTAATTATGTTCTTCGAAGTTAAAAATCCGATTCAATATACATTTATTCGTACCTATGATCTAAGATAAGCA